GTGCGTTTCTGGGATCCTGCTGGATTCACAAAGGATGGCGACGCCGACAACTTCGCGCGCCGCCGTCAGACGGAGCTGAAGCACGGGCGCATTGCAATGCTTGCAACCATGGGATATATCACCCCAGAATTCAGCAAGTGGCCGGGCTACCTTTCCCCAACTTTGGGCATCAAGTTCGCTGACGTCCCCAATGGTCTCGCAGCTATCTCCAAGGTTCCCATTTCAGGCTGGACCCAGATCCTCCTGTGGGGGGCGTACTGCGAGACATCTCAGGATCAGTCTCCTGGCACCCCAGGTGCTGCAGGCGATTTCGGATGGAAGGTGCTGACTTCCGACGATGCTGAGACCAAGACGAAGAAACTCGCAGCGGAGCTTGCCAACGGAAGGCTTGCGATGATGGCCATCATCGGCATGTTCTTTCAGGTGGGCTGTTAATAGGATGTGCCATGCAAGGCGTATAGTAGTCATGCATGCATCGTGTATCCACCTGATTGTGTTTCACGATGTAGACAAGATAAAAGGATGGCCTGACCGGAAGCGCCTGGGGTGACTGGGCCAACTACACCGCTTCCCCGCTTCGTGCATTCGAGAGCGAGCTCGGCGTGCAAGACCCTGTCGGATTCTGGGATCCAGTTGGATTCACTTCCGATGGCGATGTTGCCTCCTTCAAGCGCCGACGTTCCGTCGAGCTGAAGCACGGCAGGATCTCGATGATGGCAACCATGGGCCTCTCAACAGCAACTGAGACATTGCGTGGGAGTTCAACATTGAAGAAAGGTTGTCAGGTAGGACGGTGGTTCTTGAACGTATTGAATACTTAACTGTGCTTTAGGTGCATGTTGGATACCAGTTACCAAAAGGTAAGCTGTCGAACAGCACATGTTGTTTAATCGGAGCTCTTGAATTGAACATCGTTTGTCCGCCTACAGCGGCACTGTGGCCGAGGCTACATCACCCCTGAGATCACGGGCAAGCTGCCGTGCTCTCAGAGCGCAACAGCCGGTGCTTGCCAGCTGAGCTGCTTGACAAAGTTTGTGGCGATGTGTGTTGAGTGAGTTGCCTGTGCGAGGCCTGGCTTCCTGTCGCCGTCCGCCGGCCTGAAGTTCGCCGACATCCCGAATGGGCTTGCGGCAGTCTCCAAGGTGCCTGTCGCAG